GGGGCGGCGGAGGCAATGGAGTGGCATTTATACTAGGACAGATCCTGTCACGAAGCAGCACATGCCACGTGGCCAACGCCGTGCTGGGTCAGTTCCCGCTACGAGTCACTTCTGGGAAACATGATTGTGTTTTCCCTGCTCTGGGACGACGGATGGATACAAAACCCACTGTCTCAAGTAGACTCAACTCCACAAAAGACAGTAAGGCCAGGCAGTGGCAGAAAAACACGATGCAAGCTATGTGGACTCCAGCTACGTAATTCACGCAGGTGTGCCTGCATACCTTGCATCCGTTTTCTGGGGAGGTTGATGGGAGAAACACTCCTGTTGACTTCCCTTAATCCTTGCATGTACTGCAGCTGAGGGGGCATGCTCAGCATTCGATTTAGCGGACTTCCCTAGACCTGCTAAATCCAACCCTGGAAGATCGATTGCCATAGTGGATCCTCCAGCAACTGGAGACAAGGCATAAGACCCTTCCCTGCCCTTCACCAGGGGAGGGCGTCATCCCCAAAGAAATGGCTCGGGGCAGGGAGGTTTAGAAGCACTTACCAATGAAGACAAAGATCTGGTGGTGAGAGTATCGCAACAGCATTGAGACTGACAGAGTCTGCAAACACAAAACAGACCAGGGTTAGAACGAGACTGCTCCAGGACGCTGGTCTTTCCTAGAGGGTCGTCCATGGGAACCTCCTCTGGGGGATTCTGCAGGCAGTGGTTCAGACTGGGCTCCAGAGGCCCCCGAGACACTGGTATAAAGGCTCAGCTGAACTGACTCAAAATCCCTCCTTGTAATCCAGTAACTGACGCGAGATTTTTACCAAGATGGCACAATCCCGCTGGAAGGATCTGAAGGGCTGGAAAACACGCAAGGGTCTGGAAACATCTAGCAAACCTCACATGGGGGTAGATGGAAGATGCTGTTTGGTCACTGGCATTCGCTGTCCTGGCCCTTGAGAAAGCAAGCGGGACTATGGGGGCTGAGCCAAGGTCTGTCTTGCTGGGATCCGCACTCTGAAGGGCAGAAGGAATTGAAGGCTAAGCCTCAGTCTGGAGGCAGGGAGTTCAGAACTTTGCCCACAGAGAGGTGATGGCTAGAGACCTGAGACAGACCATAGCGGGGTACAGAGGTGCACAGTTAACCCCCAAACTGTGACAGTCACGTGGGAGGCCCGTAGGCCTATGATCACATTAAATGACATTAACATTTACGCTAACTAAGAATTTGCGGGCTTGTGTGGATTTTTCTTAGCACCTTAAAGCCCAAGACTGTGCTGCACATTTCATTGTTTTGAGTGGCAACTCTTTGGCACGTTACAAAGAGGAATGAAGCCGCACGCTGCTCCTGCGGAAGAGATGGCAAGTAGGCTAGCCGTAGGGGCGCAGTTCTGACTAGGGATGTTACATTGAATCAACTAATCGACTAGTCAATGGGTTTTCCATCGACTAGTCCATTAGTGAGTAAGTGAGGGAGCTGAAGCAGGGTTAGCTCCCAGCCCCAGGAGCTAACCCCACTGCGGCTCTGCCTTTCAATGTAGCAAGAGCCAACCAGCTCTTAATACACTGAAAAGGCTGAAGCACGGTGGGGGAACTCAGCGCGTGCCAGGTCAGCTGATTCCTGGCTTGTGCCAGGTTCCCCTGCTGCACTTCAGCCTTACATGTAAAAAGCAGGTGTCACCCCCCTGCTGCTCTTCTGATTTTTAAATGTATTAAGAGCCAGTAGGTACCTGTCTCCGGAGCCAGAGGTTGAGGGTTCAAGCCCTGCCCATAACCAATGTGGACCTGGCACCCTTGGAACAAAGGAGATACAGGGGGGAGCCCAGAATGTAGAGAGGTTGGAGGCTCCTCCAGTGGCGCAGTAGATAAGGTACCTGCCTCCAGAGTCAGAGGTTCAAGCCCCACCCCCAGTAGGCTCCCAATACATCCAAAAGGCCAAAGTGCAGTGGGAGGGGGCTCTTAAGAGCCACTCCCAGTCCCCACCACCTCCCTGGAGACAGCAGAGGGGGACCACCCCTAGCACCAGCCCCTGCTCCCCACCCCCACTGCCTCTGACAGAGGCAGCAAGGGGGGGAAGCAACTAGTCACCTATATCCCTAGTTCTGATAGGTTAAGTGATGACCAAAAATCAAAGCAAAATAATCAGTAGCAGAGTTGAGAACTGAACCCAAAATTCTGGCTCAGGCCTACACTCCTCCAGCCAGGCCATTCTGGTCACACAAGACTGATCTGTCTTCTGCTGAGAGATTTTTAAACACCCCTCTCACCAGCTGTTTGATTATTAATTTACATGGTCTTCCATGGGAAGAAAGAACAGGGCTCTAACTCAGTGCCTAGGGGTTTGGTATCCAGGGTCCCTCAGCCTCCTTTGCTAACTGGTTTCATCTGGGTCAAGTTTGCATTTGCCAAAGATTTGAGATGCACTTATTCCACACGGTTCACTTGGCTTTAAAAGTAGCTGCGGAGTCTCGTGCGAATGCAGACTGAGTGCAAATACGATCCCAGGACCTGGCAAGCCTTAGCCCAGCAACACTGAGCCAGTTCTACTCACAAATATGACCATGATGACAAAGGCTGCCAGATACGAGGTCCTGGCCATCCACATGCTGACAAAGCGATAGTGCTCCCCCGACACCACGTTGCGGAGGAAGCCTGGAAGGAACAGAGCAGCCCCATCTGATTAAACGGTAACGGCAGGGGGGGGGGGGCGCGACGCCGCGGCGGGGGGGCTCTGTAACGGCAGGCGGAGCGGTCAGCACTGCTGCGTTGGTCGTTCTCATTCGGCATCGGGCCAGAGAGTCTCTGTGGCCGTCACTTCGCTCTTCCTCGTATAATCTCCCCAGGCAGCCGGGGAACCGGTCTCGCTCCTAGTGAGTGCACTGGGGGGCCCCCCCTTCCCGCACCCACAGCGCCTGCTGCGACTCTTCCACCACAGAACGGTGCGCCCGGCCCCTTTACCTTTGTTCTCTTCGTTTTCGGCCAGCGCTTTCACGCTGGACATCAGAATGTCATCGTAACCCAGGAACTCGTCCAGCAGCAGGCGACTAAATCGGTCTCCAAAGCACTGGTCCCTGGTGGGATCTGCACAAAAGGTAACAGAGTCACTTGGTTTAACCAGAGGACAAGCCACAGCAGAAAACGCTCCCTGGGCCTGGATGTGAACAGTAGCACCAGAGGCGCTGCGGTGCAATGGGGGCAAGCAAACAGAGCTCAGTCCCCAGGCTTCGGCCAGCGGAGAGGCGCACGCGCCCCAGCGAGTCAGGTACTCGACTGCCTGCCCCTTTTAGCAGGACGCACGGCAGCACAGACATACTGACGGCTGCAGCGGGGTGCCAATAGCCGACGTGGAGAGAAGTTCTTCACGTGGCGGAAGAAATCAGGAAACGCGAGGACAGTGGGACAGACGGTTCCATTATTTGCAATGAAATCTGGAATGTAAGATCCTTTTATTTAAATACGAATCCAAGTGATTCAGCATTTGTGTAACTCCAGGCATTACTGAAAAAGCGTCACCATCACACCATAGAGGTGGCTGCAGTCATTAAACCTAGTGACATGGAAGTGCTCCCTAAAAGCAAGGGAGTTTGATACACACGTGTCACTGCTCCGAGTGTAGCTGACAGCCAGAGGTGCAATTGTTAGGGGGCACGTGGGGGGGCTTACGTACAGATCTGAAAGATCAGACCAAATAAAACCCCGCCTACCTTGGCACACAGACCCATGTGTTATGTGCCTGGTGAGCACTGCTTACTACTGCAGAACCACGCTGCTGCTTGCATTACTTGCATCTAATCGCCCGCATGCCGCACGTCTTGGCAGCTGCTTAATTAGGATTTTTTTGGCAAGAGCGTGTCAGTGGAAGAGAAGGCTGTCACGGGTACAGAGAGCATTCGCGGGAATGCCAACACTAGGGAAACACACTACACGTTCTGACAGGCATCGTTACAATACTGTAGCACAAGCGTAAGTAGCACTGACTGAGGGTGCAGGCTATTCCGTTTCTAGCCTCTCAAGTTCGTTGCTTTTCCTCCTTTACTGTCAAGTCAGATGAATTGGGCAGAGGTTAGATTTGCTTTCTTCCTTCCTGGGAGGGCCACTGCTCGAGACTAGAATGCTAGGGTTCAGATCCTGAAACAGACTGCTTAGATTCGGATACTGTAACGGATGCCTTGGCATCCCATTGTAACGACACTGCCTCTAAAACAGCCCTCTTCTGAACGAGGGCCCCTCTGCTGTTATAAAAGGGTCGTGTGTAACCACAGCTAAGGTCGACCTACGGGGGCATGACAAACGGGGACGTTGGCAAAGAGCATGCTGGCGTTTCGGAAGAGTCTTGTCAGCTAACGCAGGAGCCCTTGCCCACGTCCCTTACATACCTAGTGTCACCACCATGACTGGGATGCTGAGCCGCTGGCGCGTGCTCTGAGACAGGCGTAAGAACCCGTACTCCAAAGAATACTCCACAATGTACTCTTCTTGGGGCCACACTGCAAGAGAGGAAGGGAAAGGAGTCTCAACAGCCGGGTTTGCCAACTGCCCTGGATATGACCCACTTTACCCACATCTGCCAAGGAACAAGCACAAGTAGGGCTGTGAGTCTGCTCTGCTTCTCTGTGAAGGGCTTTAAGAGCAATGAACTGAAAATACTATAGAACGGCACAAGTACTAGTAAAAAATCACGCTATAGTCTGGAACGCCAGTTTCCAAAGCAACCGGCTTGTAACTTCAGCTACAGACAAGGAGCAGACAAACTTTGCAAAAAGATTCCCCAGCAGAGACCTCACTCACTTAAACAGTTAACTGGTTGCCCTAACGTTTAACCGGTTAACCAACTAACTGGGAATTTACATCCTGAGGAGAAAAGCTCTTCCACGTACAAACAAGTCTGCCTACAGAATTGCCTTCTACAGATAAAGCAACAGAGTTTCAAGAACTGACTGGTAAGAGTTGTAAAGGTTTCCTATCACGAATAAGGCTGGGTCCAGGGGATGCCTGGGCCCTGGAACAGAACTGATGCTGGCAGAGAACAATCGGTGTTATTGTGAGCAGCATAATTCACAATGGCAGACATCTGCTGTGACTTACAGGTTGGATTCAGAATGCCTGTGCTCCTGGTACTGTGCCTGCAGGCCCGAAAGCCACCCGCCCAACCAACCGCCAATCTTGCTCTGTCCTCAAGTGACCTCTCTACGCAGGCCCTCTTTAGTGGTTTTCCTAGCAGACTGCTAACATAAAGCCATGATTACAACAGGCCTAAGAGAGCTTCCGGCCAGAAAATACAGATTTGCCTGGCCCTGTGAAGTACCACTTGGGTTTAAGTGGTGCGTGTCAGGTGCTATACCATTATTTTAACAGAACATCTGTGTCACAAACAGGTCACTCGGATGTTCCCAGCCATCAGAGCAGTCAATAGAAGTGGCTCTAGCAGTATCCTGCATTCTAGAACTAAATGACTCCACTCCAGAGAGCAGATAAATAGATCAATTTGTAAGATGATTTTTTGGCAAAAAAATTAAGCACCCTTGTTAAGAATGTACCCTTTAAAACCAGTTAAATCAATGAATACAAAGAAATTTACACATCTCTGGAAAAGTTTGATCAAATCACCACAATACCAGGGTGTTTTGGTGGGAATCTTCCACTCCTCAGCCTCATTACTTGGACATTAGCCAATAATGAGTCCCAGACAAAGCCAGTAGCTGCTGCACATCATATACATGCTGAAACCAGAAGTCATGCTGGTGCAAGTAGCAGAGCAGAAGAGCTGATCTCACGGTGATATGAAAGCAATTAAAATTCTTCCCTTTCCCACTCAGTCCCCGACACCTCCAAACGCAGCAAAACAGGAAATCAGCAGCACGGTTGTGATCAGGCTTTGACATTTCACACGGCAGCGTATGTGTAAAGAATGACAGACACCCGTGCGCAGGCGCCAAGGAACCTGTGGCAGAGATTTTGGCACTTTGTGTTCTGCACACTTTGGGAATGCTACAAGGATAGTCCCATCCCCACTTCACTCTGACTAAGGATGTGGATGGTTAGCAGGTGAGGCTCAACTATTTCGGTTAACCAGAAGGGGCTGGAGCAGTTCTCTGTGGAGGGGGGGCTGCTCCCG